ACAGAAGTCCCAGGTCTCCCTCAAGCAGGGAGTCTCCCCTCTCTTACCCACTCAGTGCATGAGCCAGTGCCACCAGAAATCGAATTCTCAGCAGACTCCCCTGCACTCCATAGTACAGGAGCAGAGTCCTTGTGTGGCAGGTCGCAACACCATTTGGCCTGACCACCCCTTCATCTGGATGGAGGGGACTCTGGGCCAAATTTCAGTGATCTTGTGACCCCCTGTCCCATGTTGCAACACCACTCACGGAAATCTGGCCCAGCTGCCTGTCTGCCTGTACAGAGGGGCAGACAGGTAAAATTTCAGTGATGTTGTGATCACGTAGCCAGCAGCAGCCGACCTGATTTAATATGGGACCAATGCTTAAGAATGGTCAGACTATCCCCTCACCAAGCTCTGCAGCCAATGAAACGTTGACCAGATGCAAAAACTTTGCAGAGTGGTGGTGATGGTGGTGAATATGCACAAAATGCAGGGAGCCTGTCATCAAATTTTATCTAGCATGCCACACTGCGCTTTTGGTATCAGAAAAACTGTTGACTCATACCTCCCACGGTTGTAGAAACCCAGCTCTATTTCTTCAGCAGCAGACATGACATATCTGTGAGTCAAACTTAATTCTTATTTTGGCAGATATCCCATTAGAAGAGCAGTACATAGGGGCAGGGCCGGATTAACTCTCCTGTGGCCCAGGGCTATTAGATTTTGTGGGGCCCCTGTAGACAAGTCTCTTTCCTGAGAGGGAGTTTAACCACAGGTGGCTCGTGGCCGGCAGCGCAGCAGGGCTCAGGCAGGCTGCCTGCATGCCATGGCCCCACGCCGCTCCCGGAAGTGGCTGGCTGCTAGCATGTCTCTGCAGCCCCTGGTGGGGAGGAGGGCAGCGTGTCTCCGTGTGCTGTGTACGCCTGTGAGCGCCACTCCCATAGCTCCCATTGGCCAGGAACTGGCCAATGGGAGCTGCGGGGACAGTGCTTGGGGCAGGGGCAGCATGCGGAGCTGCCTCCCTGCACCCCACCAGGGGCCACAGAGACGTGATAGCAGCTGGCCACTTCCGGGAGCAGCGTGGGGCCACGGCATGCAGGCAGCCTGCCCGAGCGCCCCTCTGCACTGCGGGACTTTTAGCGACCCGGAGTTAGAGATCACTGCCTGTGATTTATTTTTGTGGGGGCCCCCTTGAGCAGATGCACTGGGCTGCAGCCCCTAAAGTCCCTGCCTTAATCCGGCCCTGCATAGGGGGGTCTGCTTCTCCACATAGATCACTATGGTAGTGGTTTTTTAGTCTCAGGTGCACTCCTGAGGGCAGACCCAGCCCCTTATTCATTCTACAGAGACCTTTTCCTGTGCAGCAACAGATCTCTGAAATCTGCAAGACACTCACTTTCTTGCCTGTCACAATTAGTCGTCAGCCCTGTTTTTCAAACTTCATCATCTCTCCAGCACCACCCTCCAAAAAAAAAAATCAGACAGAAGATCAACATTAAGAAGCCCGCAAGAGCAGTATATCTGCTTAGAATTAAAAGACCAGTTTGAAAGATTTTTAAATGTTGTCAAAATACACCAAAGGCACTCAAAAAAAAAAAAAAAAAAAGAGAGAGGAGGGGTTATGTGGAAGCCTTTATAGTATTTATATTCATCTTTACAAAGGAGACAAACTCAGACAAGAAAAATGTTTCAACCAGAATAGTCTTCTTTAGGTTGCAATGACAGTGGTAAAAAGAAGGAAGTAATCTGGCCTATTTTTTCCCTCCACTAGTGATAGTAGTAAAACTTTTTCTTGTCTGATTTTGGAGTGTCATTGCTATTTGACTACATTAAAAGTTCTGGTAGCTAAAGGCCTGATCCTGCGATGTTTTCTAGATGGCACCCCAGTCATGAAAGGCCCTATATTTTTGTTTGGCTTCTTAATCACATTTAGAACTAATTGGAAATTTTCCATTGAAACAGATTTCCATCAGAATTAAATCAAAAACTTTCATAGGAACATGCCAATTTCATCAAAACTTTATTTCATTTTGATAAGGTCAAAATGTTCTGTTTTGACTTTATCATTTCAACTTTTATGTTCTTATAAATTACAATACATGTTATAATTATATGGTATAGCATAAAAGTCAAAATAATAAAGTTGAAATGAAAAAGTTGAACCTTAGCAAAATGAGATGTTTTGATAAGGTCGAAAAAATATTTCACAAAATTTCTGAGATTTCAACTTTTCACTCTGATTCAGAATATGACCAAATCTCAGAATTTCCCACAGAATGGAAATTCCATTTTTCGACCATCTCTACTCACGTTATTTATTTAAATTTAAAATAACAAAAAGAACATAAGACCAGACGTAAGAATGGCCATATTGTGTCAGACCTATGGTCCATCTAGCCCAGGATCCTGTCTCCAACAGTGGCCAGTACCAGAGTTTCACAGGGAGTGTACAGAACAGGGCAGTTGGAGTGATCCACCTCTGTCTTCTGGTAGTTAGAGATTTAGTATCAACCCAAGCAAGAGGTTACATCCCTGATCTTGGCTAACAGCCATTGATGGTCCTATCCTCCATTAACTTATCCAGTTCTTTTTCGGAACCCAGTTATACTTTTGGACTTTACAATATCCCACAGCAATGAGTTCCAAAGGTTAATTGTGTGCTGCATGAAAAAGTATTTCTTCGTTTGTATTAAATCTGCTGCCTCTTAATTGCATCATGTGCCCCCTGGTTTTTATATTGTGGGAAAAGTTAAATAACACGTCACTAACCATTTTTTCCACACTGTTCATGATTTTATAACCTTCTGTCATAACCCCCCTTACTCGTCTCTTTTCTAAGCTTAACAGCCTCAATCTTTGTAGTCTCTCTTGATCATCTTTGTTGCCCTTCTTGCAACTTTCCAGTTCCACTGTATCTTTTTTTGAGATGGGGTGACCAAAACTGGACACCATATTCAAGGTATGGGAGCACATGGATTTATACAGTCGCATTTTGGTATTTTCTGTCTTAGTTTCTATCCCTTTCCTGATAGTTTCTAACATTCTGTTAGCCTTTTTGACACTTCTCCAAGGTTCTAGGCACCGTGACATCACTAATAACAAAATCCCAGCAGCCAGGAGTCATTTCACAGGAACTCAGCCAGCCAGACATCTACAGAGACTCCTTTCCACCCCTTCATCATTGTGGGACGCATACCCTCACCCTCTCCAAAACCCCTATCAAACAGATGACATTTGCAGTGTGCCCATATGGACACGGAATTCAATCTACTTCAGACCAGGTGGGGAGAAACCAGAGTTGTGAAGCCTTCACAGAGAATGCCCAGCAACCCTCTCTCCCCCTTTTATAATGAAGGGAATTCTACTCAGGCTCCTCTGATGACCACAGTGGTGGCAGTATTACACAGGGAAATAGGCAATCCCTCAGGTAGGCCAGGCTTTAAAGAGTCTGCTCCCCCTTGTTAGGAAGATCTATTTTAATATATTACTATAAGTCATAATATTTTATGATAGGCTGACTCATACCATTCACATTTTCCTTTTTACCTCATACAACCCAGATGATAAACAATAACCATTATTATGGGTTAGACTGGGTCATTAGGCACCGTCATGGGGAGGACTGGGAAGCATTGTGCCTCAGAGACAACATTTCTCACATGGCCCCTTTTTGTTATGGGGGCAGTAATTTGCAAGACTCCTTTTCCCATCCTATGCTCTCTCTTCCCTCCACTCTCTGCATCTGGACAGTGCTTGGGGAGGTATAGGGTGGAGAGCTATGTTTCTGCCTCTTTCCCACCCTTCCTACTTTTTCCCTACAGGGAGTATCTGGTGCTTAGACCTTCCTATCTCCCCAGCATCTGGAGCTAACATGTAGATAGCCTTACAGCACCATGAAATTGAAAGGCGGCGGGGGGGGGGGGGGGGGGGGGAGAAACTTGCTCCTCTTAAACATGTTTTAAGTACCATCTATGCACCCTGATTTGTTAAGGGTGGATTTAAATCACCATGTGACACAGTGCCCTATTTAATCTGGTTTACTACTAGCCCGGGGGAAAAAAGGCTAATTATTGGCATTATGGTCTAGTCGAAATTAGGAAGTGAAAATAAATGATTCATGACAGGCAAAGTACTGTTTTTATGCAATTAGATTGTTTAACGTATGCTATATTTTTCATGATTTAAAAAAAATGATCACAGGTGTGAGTAATGCCAGAGGTGGCCATGGGTCAATTTGTGCCTGTAAATGTCACAGCCACCAGATTTTGAAGTCCGAAACATCCACACATCTCAAATAGGTGTCATTGATCTTAACTGATCAAAAGCAAAACCGTTGACTGTTTCTCCAGCTATTGGCAGATAGAGAACCATGAGTAAAGAGGTGATGCCTTGACTGTGGGGGAGGTTCGGAGGAAGAGAATAAGAGAAAGAAGGGATAAAATAGACACTATGGAAACACGAGAATGAGAAATCAGCACTTTATCTTTAAACTGATTTCTTTGCCTGGCAAAAAAGTAACTAGCTGCATGCTTTTGAAAAGCTTGTAGTGTTAAAGCGCCACCGTCAGTTACTTGGAAGCACAGAGAGCAGATGCCCGGAGGATGCACCTCAGTCCCTAGGACATGAGCTCACCCAGCCTGACTGCACTAGGCAATGGGAAATAATCGCACCAGATTCACATCCACTATCCCACACTCTCTAGCAAAACAAATTGCTGTGCTTTCTAATAGCCAGCCCAGGAGGAGATGGTGAAAGCATTAATACAACCCATCTTAAATGACCCATGCAAGTCATTTTTCATATATGTATATTAAGATTAAGCTCCCAGCCCAGTCTCTTCCAATTCCACACCTCCCCCACTAAAGCGGTGCGAAGGGCGGGTGGCGCATGGGGGGGACTTCAATAAAGGCAGAGGGGAGGAGCCAGTGGGAGGAGCCCGAGTTACACCATTGGCTGGCTGGGGGAGTGATGTCACTCATATGAAACCCTGATAACTAGTTCGGAGGGGACCCGGCCGCAACTTTTGCAGAAGGGGGCGTGTGATCTAGTGAGAGCTCGGGGTCCGGGCGGCTGCCGGTGCTGCTGCCGCCGCCGCCGGGGGGAGGGGAAAGAGCCGAGCCGCAGAGCGTCCCAGTCCTGCGGGTGCCTGGTGCAAGGGGAGCAGAGACGGCCGTGTGCGAGCGGGGAAGGAAAGGCGCAGGAGAGACCTTGCAACTCGCACGCGGGGCTTCGCCTTGTGACTCCCGAGGGCTCGTGTGGCGGGGCAGAGAAAGGGCTGGCACACACAAAGAAATCGCTGCAAGCCCGGCATGGTGCAGCAAGCAGAAAGTACAGAGACTGAAAGCAATCTGCCCAGGGAGGCGATGGACACCGAAGAGGGCGAGTTTATGGCGTGCAGCCCGGTCGCTTTGGATGAGAGCGACCCGGACTGGTGCAAAACGGCTTCAGGGCACATTAAGAGACCGATGAATGCGTTCATGGTGTGGTCTAAAATCGAGAGGAGAAAAATCATGGAGCAGTCTCCGGACATGCACAACGCGGAGATCTCCAAGCGCCTGGGCAAGCGGTGGAAAATGCTGAAGGACAGCGAGAAGATCCCCTTCATCCGGGAGGCGGAGAGACTGAGGCTCAAACACATGGCCGATTACCCCGACTACAAATACAGACCCAGGAAAAAGCCCAAAATGGACCCATCAGCCAAGCCCAGTGCCAGCCAGAGCCCGGAGAAAAACGCACCCACCAGCAGCAGCAGCAAAAGCGCCAAGAGCTCCAGTAAGAAATGTAGCAAGCTGAAGTCCTCCTCCTCCTCCTCTCCCGCCAAGCCCGGGGCTAAAGCCACCCACCCCGGGGACTACGCCGGGGAGGACTATGTCTACGGCACCCTGAAAGTGAGCAGCAAAACCGTCAAGTGCGTCTTCATGGACGAGGAGGAGGACGAGGAGGAGGAAGAGGACGAGCTGCAGCTCAGGATCAAGCAAGAGGCGGAGGAGGAGGAGGACGAGGAAGACGAGCAGCAGCAGCAGAGGCGATATAATGTAGCCAAAGTCCCGGCCAGTCCCACCTTGAGCTCCTCGGCAGAGTCCACCGAGGGGGCCAGCCTGTACGAAGAGGTGAGGGGCGGCGCCGCCTCGCACGGCAGCAGCGGCAGCAACAGACTATACTACAACTTCAAGAACATCACCAAGCAGAACACCCAGCAGCAGCCCAGCCTGTCCCCGGCGTCTTCCAGGTCCATCTCCACCTCCTCCTCCAGCAGCGAAGAGACGGACGACCTGATGTTCGACCTGAGCTTGAATTTCTCCCAGCACCCTCACGCCGCCTCGGAGCTGGGGGTGAGCTCCGCTTCGGGGAACTTGTCTCTGTCCCTGGTGGATAAAGATTTGGATTCGTTCAGCGAGGGCAGCTTGGGCTCTCACTTCGAGTTCCCCGATTACTGCACCCCGGAGCTGAGCGAAATGATCGCAGGGGACTGGCTGGAAGCGAACTTTTCCGACTTGGTCTTCACTTACTGAGCCGCGGGAAGGCGTGTCGCTGGTGAGAACAACCGAGCGGAGAAATCGGAGAGGAAAGATGATGCTGGTGATGATGTGATGGAAGTGGGGGAGTAAAAAAATGAAATAATAAAATGTCTTCTTTTCTTTTTCTTTTTTTCTATTTTTTTTTTTAAGTCTCAAAGTTAGTTCCAAACCGAGCCCGGAGTTATGATTTTTTTTTTTAATTTGGTGATCGCAACAACAACAAAAAGGCATGGGGGACTGGGGGAAAAATGATTCAGAAGTCGATATTCGAAGCTTGTCGGTCTGTGATTGAAGTCTGGAAGATGGTCTGCAAAGAAGTCTTTTGGCAGCACAACTGTTACTCAAGGGGGTTGTGGATTTTTTTTTCCCGCGAGAGATCTTAAAAGAACTGTTCTGATTTGATTTTTTTTTTCTGAAAGGGACCATTGCAACTTTTTTTGGAGGGAGAAAACTGATGTCTTCTATGCATCCGATTCTTAACAAAGCTGCAGGGAGCTTGAAAAAATGCAGACTGTACAAACGCTTACAAAAAGAAAAAAAAAACTGTGAACTGACTTAAGATCAGAGTTTACTTTTCAGATCAAATTGTCTATGGTTTTACAAATGTGATTTCTACTTGCCAACTTTTTTTTTGTAACTTGTTCCCTTATACCTCCTTGATTGAATACCAGACAGCCTAGACCTCAGTACAAAAAGGTATTGAAACATTTTTGATACATAACAGACCTCAGTCTTTTTTAAAAATTAATATATTTTCAGGCGTATTTTTGTACAGTGAAAAGGGAACATTCTTGCTGTGTTTTTTCAGTAAGACTTTTCAGGCACTTCTTCCCTTTTATTTTTTTTCTTTTCTGTTTTTAGCATGCAAGTTTGTTGGTACGTTACGTCCTGGTTTTAAAAGGATTAACATTTTAAAAATAATCCTTGCATCTAAAGGCCTTGTGGTTTAAAACAAAAAAAGAAACTTTTTTGTACAGCTATAGTTCAGATTTGTTCAATATTTGTAGGTAAAGATTTATTGAAAATGGTGATATAGACCTCAGAGCTGTTATCTTAGTTTAAAAGATTGTATATGTACTGTACTATAGTAGGACTTTATGTATCTCATACGCTGTGATATGTGGATGGGGCCCCAGATGGAAGGTATGAAACTGGATTCTCGATTTTTAGCAAAAAAAGGCACATAGTTAAAAAAAGTTTCTCATTTTGTGCAATATAATCTAAAGTACAGACCATCTGCATATTTTGTAGCAAATGATGGCAAAAGCAGACTTGTGCACTGTCAACATCATTGCCTTTTTTTTATGCTGAAAGTCTGTATCTTGACAATTTTAATAAATCAGCTGGAACTGATAGAAACTCGAATCGCTATTAGTGTCTGTAGAAGTAACGCTGGCGATGCCCTGTGCCCACGCCCCACCCGCGGAGCTGTAGGCGGCTGTGTCTGCATGTAGCCAGGGGGGAGAACGTTAAGACAGCTTTTTATTCCACAAACGTGTAAAATCGCTGCTTTTACCCCCCTCCCCGCTCCCCCATCCAGCTTTCCGCGGCCACCTACCCTAGAAGGGGAGACCCCGGGGGTGGCTGGCCCTCAGGAGCCCATAGAAAGATGGCGGGGAGCATCCCGGAGAACGTGATTCCAGGCACGCTTGAGTGTTAGCTTCTCTGCCCGTTTACCTGCCTTCTGTCGTTGCTGCATCTCCCCTCGGCGAAGGGTTGGGGGGGGGGGGGCATCCCAGCTGAGTGTGGCTAGCGGAGGGGCCCTTTGCCGAGGGGGGATTCTAGCCCTGTCCCCATCTCCGGGGCGGCGGGGTAAGGACACCTTTCAGGCTGCGATCCGTGCGCGTAGGAGGCGGGGATGGCTCTGGCTTCGCTCCCCCAAGTGGCAGGGCTCGGCTCTCCGGAGGGCAGCGTCGGGGGCCGGTGCTAGCTCGCTCCCTGCTCGGCCTGGGGGAGTCTCCCTCAGGCTCTCGGGGAGGGAGCTGCGCTGGCTCCCGGGGTCCCTTCCACGTGGGCTGGGCTGTGCGGCGGGCCAGGCTGGCCGTGCGCGGAGGGGGTGTGTCCGGCCATGTGCGGCCAGCGAAGGCTGGCGGCGGCAGGCGCGCTGGTCATTTTTAGCAGCTTCTCTCCTACCCCCCACTCCCCCTCCCCCAGCCCCGCCAGTCTTAAACGGGGGAACCGGGCGAAGGAGTCGGGGTGCAGCGGCGGGGAGGGACCGGAGAGCGGCTGGCTCCCCCTGGGCGGGGCGCGCGAGCCTCCCCGCCTTTTTCCGCCCCCCACGCCGGCCGGGGCAGCACGGTGCTGGGCTGGCGGCTGCTTCCCGCCTCCCCGTGCATCCCTTCCGCAGGGGCAGGCGAGGCGGGTCGCAGGGAGGCAGCAGCGGCCGGGTGCGGGGCTTCCAAGCCGGGGAGGCCGGCCGCAGCCGGGGGATCCTGCTCAAGAAGGGGCGGGCTGAGGCCTCCAGTTTGCCGCAGGGGCGGAGGTGCAGCCAGCTTTGATCTCTGCCCTGTCCCTTCTGTGCAGGGCTTCCCTCCCCGCCCGAGCCGGGCGCGCACAGGCGCTGCTGGCCCCCAGCTCGCGGAGCCGGAGCGATCTGCCCCCAGCCAGCTCTGCCTCTGCCGCCCTTCCCTTTGAGCGGCCTGGGCGGGCTCGTAGCTACCGATGCCCTGCCCAGAGCGTGCTGCCGCCCTCCTCGGCAGTGGCACGGCGCTAACCTCCGCCCCGCCGGCAGCTGGAGAACCCAGGGGATCCCTGCTCCAATTCCCTCTTCTTTGCAGTTGCCTTTGCCTGTCTGAGAGCTGGGGCGTGGGAAGGGCGGATGTGAGCGGCTGCTGCAGATGAACAGACTTTGTAAATGTGCATTTTTTTCCCCCTTAGGAGCCGTCAGATTTCAGTTTTACACTTTGAAAGAACTGCTGATGGCAATAAACAGACTCAAGGTGGAAGTGTGTTTCTCAAGAAGTTTACTTTTTATCTGATAGGCATTGGTCGATCCTTTTATCTTTTTATCCACTAATAAATGATCCAGCTGTTTACAAGGACAATTCACTGTGCTGGTAATTTTGGTGGCAACCACTGCTACAGGCTTTCAGACTTGCTGAAAATGAAAATCCTGCATACATATTTGTAAGGCATAATAAAACACAACATTTAAACCTGCATGCATGTTATGTTTAATCAAAGACAACTCTTAGGCATTTAAGTGGTGAGATAGCTACTTTAGGTTAGTTAAATAATCTGGTAGTTAAATGATTCATATAATCTGATCTCTTTCTCATAATAATAATAATTTAAAAAACTTACTCATGAGTCTAAATAAAAGATGTTTGGCCTAAATCCTTGCTATCAGAAAAGAGATGTAGAGTATCTGGGAAGCTAAATTTATGTCTTGCATTGTGATAATTCTTTATGAAAAAAAAACTGTTTTAAAACAAACAAGTACAACACACAAAATATCCTTGGCAATGGATAGTCCTCAATAAAACAGAATTTCTTGAATTTTAAGTTTTTTTGGTCTCAAATGATTAGTATGTTCTCTATATAATTACTTAGCAATTAGACTGAAAACAAATGACATTTATCTCTTCTAAGGCAAAAAGAAAAGAAAAAAAAGAAAGAAAAAGAACTAAAGTGCTCTAGCCATTAGCTGTCCTACTGTTGAAAACCAGTTCATGGGCTAGGGTGATAGCATTAGATGATCATATTCCAATCCTTTAAAACTGAGCCAAAATTCTCTTAGCAATTCTTCAAGCTATCATGAGAGGGTGTGGACAATTTCTTCCACTCCCTTCTTTCTGATATGCATCCTTGTTTATTAAAATGATAGGCAGTGTAATTGAACATTTGTGTTTTGCAAATGTTCAGTGAGTTATGTATTAATGATGGTCAAATCTAAGCTGGATTCAGTTTGTAATAAGGTATATGTTTCAGCTCACAAAAATTTTTGGAGGAAATTTTTACAATTATCATTACAAAATATTAATCAAGAATAACTAATTTGAAATATCCAAGTATAGCGCAGTCAGGCAGATTTTAAAGAGCAACAGGTCTACTTTAGTCAAAGGAAAAAAACACCCTGCCAAAAGAGTCTTGGCTTTTGGAAGGGAACATGTAAAATTAATATTTTGAGTGACGATGCAATGTACAGGGGGACAGTACATATTTTTTTTTCCCAAAAAGTTTGACATTTAATTCATTTGAGAGCTTAACTTTGCATATTGCCCAAGGAAAATGAATGAATATTCTAATTAAGCCACGAGACTTTTAGGGCTAGAACTTGCTCCTTGTTGAAATCAATGCCTGAACTCCCACTCATTTTAGTGAGAGTAAGAGCAGTCTTACAGTCACTAAAGATCACATCAGCTAGGTTACCCTCATATTTTATGTGTGGGGTGTTTCTGGTCAAATTGAATAATCCTATTCCCAGTTTTTCCTTTTAAGTATGCATATGAATTCTTGTTGACTACCCTCTTGGAGAAATCTTTATGTTCCAGGCTTAGTGTCTCCCATTTACTTTCTTATTGCCCCTGTTTTCATTTGGTCTCCGTAAAGTATTTTTCTTTGTGTAAGCAGACTTATGGGCACAAAAGAAGAAACTCAGCTTTTTCCAACTGGAAAAAACAACTTAGGATCTCACTTAAATATCAGACCTAGAAAAAGGTGGTGGTATTTTTTAGATTTTGAAAATGAACGTTTTTGGAAAGTTAACTTCAATTGACATTTTCCCTTTTGGTTGCTGTCTTCTGTTTATTCTCTCAACTGTAAAAGTACTAACTCACAGTAAATTGTTTAATTCCTTTAAAAGGACAATATTTTTCAAATTTAACAGGAAGACATATTCAAAATGTCTTTTAAATGTCTCGTGGTCTAAAATGTAGGCATCCACATCCACCCAGGGTAAACTTCCCCAAAGGTAGAGTCTACTGAATGTGGTTTGCATCTGTGTGTCCTGCTTCTTCACTTACACAAGTGTAAATCAAGTGCAACTCTATAGTTATTCTAGTGTGAAACTCCTGTGAGGTAAGAATCAGGGCCATGTAGTTTTCAGCTATTTGATACTCCATTATAGTTCATTCATTTTCTCTCTAACCTTGCCACATCTTCATATTGATGCCCTGGTATGTGCTTATACCTGCATTTCTTAACAAAAATTCTCATTGAGCTTAATGAGAGTTTTTTGCTTCAAGAAGGATGTGCGGAATTGGGTCCCAATTCTTCCTGTTTTTTTGAAAAACGTAGTTCTCTTTCTAAATTGCCCTTAATCTTCACTTATGATAATGACCAGAAAGAAACTCCCTATACTGAGATGCCTTACATTTCAACTATACAATTTTATTCCTTCAATTTCTCTTTTTTCCCAAATTTCAGGCTGTGATTTTTAAAATTTATTATTTTTTTACACACTACCTGTATCAATTAACTGCCTAATTAGTTTTATCTTCTCTACATGGATGCAGTGAATTTGTAAGAGAATTTCACAAGCAAGTAGTTTTTTAGTGAGTTTAAAGTAAATAGAGTTTTAAAGACCTATTTTTATATTCAATATAAAGCACAAATGTGCAGAAAGTGTAGAATGACTTACGAAAAAGGGAAACAAAACTTGTATTGTTTCATGTATAAAAAGTAATACCTTCATTGGGTAGAGTTTCTCTTAGGAAACCCAATACTTATGCCAGTGCAAAGATAGGAATATTTTAAAAACTCTTAGAAGATTGTGATTGACAGCAGTTTCAAAGCAATGACTTCTCTATATGAAAGTAAACCCCTAAAGCAATATGGTCAAGAAGGGGTGAGTGGTTTTCAATGATGAACAAACAACCTGGAAGTGTGAGATTGGAGGTTCCAGTGCTTATTATTTAATCAAACTTTTTTGTGCTTAGCTATTATATCTGGATTTTCTGTGAAGTGAAATCTTGCAGAGTGAATGAACATGAGGAAATCAAGCTACTAAGATTTGTGAACCTCCAGAAATTAAGACTGGTTTGATTATCATGGTATCACATTATAGTAACATTCACCTCACAGAAAATCAAAACAACAGTGATTTACCATCTGAAGAAATTTGATCAAATAATAAATACTATTCCAGGAACTTCTATTTATCACAATTTGATTTTGTTTCCATCTTCCTGTGTATCTCCAAAGCCAACTTGCCTCAACTCCTGGGTATACCAGGGAGAAGAGTTATATGCCATTGTTAGCTCATTTGCAATTTCTATCTGGTTTTGCTCTTGTACATATGTTGGAGTTTTGGAGTCTCTAAATAAATGCTGTGATACTTTTTTCGGGGGGAGGGGGGCCTGTTTTAAAATGGAGGCCTATTTTTCCAATGTGGGACATTTGATGGTTACAACATTTCAAAGATGTTGCATGATGGCCACAGTGGGGAAAACTGAATGTTTTAGAGCCGTTTTTCAGCATGACACTTTTAAAATATGTAATTTCAAAGCCTTTTCAAAGGCCACATGAAATTCATTTTCATAGACACTCCAGGTCTGGGGGGGGAAAGCTGAAAAGTACTTTTGTTTAGAAGTCTGAGTGATGGTGGGGGGGAACCTTTCCTTAAGGTTTTGCATGCCAGTGCACGGCCTATTGCTATGAGATAGAAAGAAGAGGATAAGGCTGCTTGAGGCAATGCACTGGAGGACAAAGTGTTTTCTAGCACTAGTAAAGGAAAATGCATGGCAAAGTTTTGTCTTCTAGTAGACTATATAGCATGCAGAGTTTAGTATGTGTCAAAACAGTGTATGACATTGCTGTATCAAAGTTGTAAAATTAAGCATTATTTATTGAAAACTATGTATTTTTTTTGTAAAAACCTGATCATTTAGAGGATTAATATCAGTGACTTTGTGCTAGTGCTACAATCTTAACCAGCTTCTTTACTACAGTACTTGATATGCAGTGTTAATGCTCAGGGTTGAAAACAGTCCACTCCAATGTCTTTTTTTGCAAGAGTTTTTAAATAAAGGAACAACATAATACAATTGTTCAAAAGACTCTAATAAAATTGTGTGATCAATCTTCATATGTGTTTTTATGTGGATTTTTTCCCCCAGTTTTTATTTGCTAAATGCAATTCAATTATTAGTGGGGCTCCATTCTTCATTCTGTGAGCACCCAATACTTGTATTAAAAGGGAATGTTGTGTCTTTCTTTCAAAACCAACATGGCACACAGTCCTGACCAGGGTAGCATGTGCAGACAGTGAATGCTGTTCTGTGCACATCCAAAAGACAGTGAAGTGAAGAGACAATTTTCTTCTTCCTCTCTCTCTTTCTCTCTTTTTCTTTTTTTCTTTTTTTTTTGGTTTGAACTTCGGATAAAAAACAAAGTGTTTTATGTAAACATTTCAGATATGTTTCAAAGTAGAACATGAAAGAAAGAAATAAGATAGATTAAATACCAGCAAACCCCAATTCTCTTGTCTTTTTCTACAAACAGTTTACAGTCTAAATGTATTTTGGCATAGAAATAAATCATTCTGTATTAAGATTCTAGATATGAAAATGTTTTTATGAAAACCTGTAATTGATTCTTGGAACTATAATAAGGTGTTTTAATGTGTTTATGTGGTGAGAGTTTGTTGTATATTAAATATGGTTTTATAGAAATGATTGTGTTATATTGTAACATTCAAAATGCACAATAGCACAACCCATCTGTTGCTAAAATTCAACCTCCAAAGGTCTTACATGTACACATTTCATCATTCACCAAAGGACAAACAAGACTTGTACTGGGTTAACTTTTGTTTAATATGTATATCTTCAAAGATTGACTTGGATATGTAAATATAAACCTGAAAACTTTGTTGTATCCACATCTTGATGTATGGTGGGGTTGTAGCTTCCTGCATGTAGGAAAGGATCATAAGCTCTTTGATCAGTGCCTATTTTGTTGTTGTTGTTGTTCTCTCTTTGTATAACACCTAGAACAATGGGGTCCTGTTCCATGACTGGAACTCCTAGTAGCTATGATAATGCAAATAATAATTAATAAAGTCAACAGTAGAAAAGCCAATGGGAGCAGGTTAAGGCCTCCAAATCTGAGAACAGACTCTTACCTGTACAATTGATTCATCAAGTAAAAGAGTTCCTTAGATATTCTGGAGCATTAGGACATCTTGAGCAGAAAAAAAAAAAAAAATCACTGTGGTTAGCTGTCTTATTTCCTAAGGCTGCTTACTGAAGAAATAATAATGACTACCTAGCTTTCCAAGAGTATGGAGAGCATTTTAAGATATGATTCCTTTAAAAAAAAGCACGCTTCCCATGAATAAGCTGTTTATTATCTGCATGTGGTTATCAGACAGTGTGGTCTAGTATAAAGGTTTCATCTGTATGCATTTGGAATAGACGGGGGCATTCATGGGCACATGTTGGTCATTCCAGACCAGTGCCAATAAACCCTTTATACAGCACCACACCATCATTGATTCTGTACATGCTGCAAACGTTACACAAAAGCTATTTATAATTGTTTTACAGAGTTTTAAAACAATGTGTTGGGTAGAGTGACCAGATGTCCCAATTTCACAGGGAGAGTCCCGATATTTGAGGCTTTGTCTTATTGAGACCCCCATAACCTCCCACCCCCATCCCGATTTTTTCACACTTGCTATCTGTAGGATAGTGTAGGACTAATTTTTGAATTCTTATGCCTATAAAGCCTTAGTTACCCTAAATCCCACTGTACAGCACCAAGAAGCAAGGCAAACATAGAAATCTCTAAAAATAGCATAAAATAGCTTATATATATATATATTAAAGTGTCACAATTTTATGGTCCAGTATGTTAGGATCTTCCAGAGCTAGAAACCAATGTCCTGTATCTCATTAAAAAGCTAGAAATATCCATGTTCCAGTGGTCAAGTTGCAATTTTCTAGCTTGTGGGTCTACAGGATATCAGACCTTAAAATCTACCTCTGGGCCAGGACTGAATATTGCCTATCTTGGGTCTCAGACCAATGGTACCTTTGGGAGGGAATTTCCATAGTGGGGAGGAGGGGGGAGGAAACATTAATCTGGGAGGTTATTGGTACTATTTTTCATATTCCTCTGCCTGTAAAGACCAGGTTTTTAATCACCATTGATGGGATTTTCACACTCTGTTTCCATTGATGTCAGTGGTAAATCTTCCTTTGTCTCCCATGGGAGAAATAAGCTGACCCTGAGTGCTTTTGAAAACTCTTAACCCGATTCCATCTGTCCAGGCCTGTGAGTGAGAAAATTCTATGCATTTTAGAAACCACTAGAATTACTAAAATAGGGTTTTTATACATAATCTTACGAGTTTAAGATTTGATATATATGAGATCCTATTAGTGCTAGAAGCAAATGGGGTGTGTGCCCCACTGGAAAGTTAGGAGTCTCTCCTAGCCAGTTGTATAAATTTGTTTCTAGAGTTGATGGGTCATAAGACATCAGACCTTAAAACTGTCAGTTTTGGAGGTATTGTCTGATTAGAGCCTTGGGTCAGTGTTACTTGATGGAAGAGGGTTTGGGATGAAAGAAAGAAAGATTCTTCCAGCAAATTGGTTTTGGTGACTGACTGATGTTGTTTTGAAATTTGGAATGTCGGAAGTTATCTCAACAGAGATGGATGCATATGCAGACACAGTCACAGTAGGTAGACACAGTCAAAGGTACATGTCAATAATACATGCCGTATATCACATAGATAACACCACCACTCAGAGAATTATTCACACGCATGTATGTGTGTACATAGGAAAGTGATTACTTCTAGTAACTATCCTGATGCACAAAAAAGTTTCCATTATAACCTCCCAAATTCAGCTTTCAGAGTAGCAGCCGTGTTAGTCTGTATTCGCAAAAAGAAAAGGAGTACTTGTGGCACCTTAGAGACTAACCAATTTATTTGAGCATAAGCATCCAATGAAGTGAGCTGTAGCTCACGAAAGCTTATGCTCAAATAAATTTGTTAGTCTCTAAGGTGCCACAAGTACTCCTTTTCTTCTCCCAAATTCAGTTACTTATAACTTGTGGAAGGTTTCACCTTTTGGACTGAAAGCTTTCCGGTTAGGAGTCTATCTCAACGTGATCTTTTTACGAAAGTTTGAGCATAATTCCTATAGCCATTTCTGAGTTAAAGAATAAAATTAAAAAAAAAAATCCCCAACAGTTTCTCCATTTTTAAAAATGGCAGTGTTTTTATTTTCCATAGGTAGGATAAAGTACCTTACCCCTTTCAGATGAGATTTGATATCTCTATAATATTTAACATATAATCAGTGTTTTCCAGTGATTCAGAAGTTACTTGGAAAACGAGAGTTATTTGAAAATCTACCGAGATGTGTGTAAACTAGAAAACATCAGTCTTTTCAGTTATTACAATGTAATGCACTTCAGAGGGCGCATAAGGAATGAGACAGAACTCCTTTGTAAGCTGCTACAACTGGCAAAAATGCAAAATGAATAAAAGGTGTGACTCTTAGTCATACTAGCACAATTGTGCCCTTAAGCTTCACAATAATGCAGCATCCATATATTTCAAACTCATAAATATTTATTTTCTCTGTGACACTAAGTGTACATGCCATTAACCCTCTGTAACATCCCTCTGTGCGCCGCAGATACATTTTTAAGTCATTGATATAAAATAAGACAGTCTGCTTTTGGGCTAGTTATCTGTAAATCAGCTTTACATATACTCGCTCCCACTATTTTGACAGTTGTGGTCTGTATGCAAGTGTAATAAAAACACATCAAAATGTGCTGCAAAACAAATAATGTAACCTTCATATTTGACTGTCACTTTGGTTGCTTATTGAGTTTTAGTACGCAAACTTTTTAGAGGTCAGAACAAAGTTGCTGACCTGATGATATTACTACAGTGCAAATCTCCTCACTTGAAAGTCCCCTACGGAGAGATTTTCAAGGGTACAAAGGGTATATAGGCACCTAGCTTCTACTGAAAGTCAATGAGAGTTGGACAGCTAATTCCCATTCATGCCTTTAAAAATATCCCTCCTAATACTTTTGTTAATTTTCTCCTTAGATAATTGAGTAAAATACAACATACTTTGTATTGCAGTGTTTTTTACATTGAGAACAACATTGTCTGCTGGATAGAGTAGGGAACTGTAAACCAGGAGTCTTGAGCTCTATTTGCAATTCTAATTCAAATCTAATTGATTTGTAGTGTGATGTTGGGCAAGACACCTAATTTCCCTGTGCCTCAGTTTTGCCATATGTAAGCCAGAAATAATCACACTTACAGGCTAGGTGGGTAATTAAGTTATGTAGCATTCGGTAATTCAGGATATTCCCACATACCACAACAGTGGTTAGGAAAATACAGTAGAGATGACAGGTTTCAGAGTAACAGCCGTGTTAGTCTGTATTCACAAAAAGAAAAGGAGTACTTGTGGCACCTTAGAGACTAACCAATTTATTTGAGCATAAGCTTTCGTGAGCTACAGCTCACTTCATCGGATTATCCGATGAAGTGAGCTACAGCTCACTTCATCGGATATGAAGTGAGCTGTAGCTCACGAAAGCTTATGCTCAAATAAATTGGTTAGTCTCTAAGGTGCCACAAGTACTCCTTTTCTTTTTACAGTAGAGATGGTGTTTGGGTGCAAAAAAAAGTGTGTATACTACCCTCAGACACATCGAAGACTGCAACCTGTGATTTTATATATTATTTACATAAAATATACAAAATATTTACAATAAAATGATGCTGAAGGCATATGATAAAGTCATATAAGAAGGCTGTGGACTCAAAGTTAACAGCCCTTATCTTCCTTGCTCCACAGGCTCTCTTTCCAGCCATTCCCTGGGGCTTTGGGAAGGTAGCTCTTAATATATATTACGCACAAAACCCCTACATCAATAGAAGATTATTAAAGTTGTGAAGTCAAGCACTCAAAAGTCAGAACATACCAAAACTAAGACTGCTTAAGTAACCTTAATTTTTCTCCCTTGTGCATATGCATTATGATATAGTCTTTAATTCCATGATCACATAATATTTTTTCTACAGGACCTAATTCAGTG